GCTAATAGCTAGTGCGGGAATGTGCCGCTGTCGCTGTGTCATGTCGGCGATCGAGCTGCCCTATTGACGTGGGACTCGGAGCGGAATACAGTGTCCAGACTGTAAATGACTGGAGAGTGAGCCAATCGCATACGGTGGGCGATATAAGGAGGAGAGTGATAGATCAGTGACTCCTGGGTGATGTTAGCGACTTTATATCAAGTCTCAAATGTCAGATAATGTTATTACGCTGATGCTGTTATTTGGTTACCAAGCCACAAATTGATGTAGGGGAGAGTGGGGAAAGATGCCCAGGGTTTTACTATGTCATATATTGTTCGAAAATGACGATCGGAAAGCAAAAACTTGGAGTTTCAACGGAAGCCGACATCATTTTTCTCCAAAAATATCACACTTTCGTGCTTGAAATATGATAACTTTTTTTACTATTAAGCATTTTCCTGAAGAAGTGAAAGGGGGCATCTTACCCCACAGGGTGGGAAAGACGCCCCCTGGCGTTGGGGAAGATGCCCCCTGCACTATAAGTGACATAAATGGGCACGTGAATCGCCTGAACGAATCAGTAGTCCCTTCGAACCTGCAGTAGACACCAAACGTCATCGTAAAGGCCCTTAAAAGTAGTCGTAAGGGGCTTCAGAGGTCATCGTTATGGCCATCATAGTCCAGCGCGGCCAAACAAGCCTCCGTGGTGGCGTTCGGAGACCACTGTGGGGCCCTATAGGTCTTCATGATGCTTGAGGGCCCTCGAGCCCATCGTGGGGACCTCAGATGCCAGCGCGGCCCGTGGAGCCAACGTGAGAGACCTCAAAGGATGTCGTGAGGGGCCCTGGAGCCAATAATGGGGCCCACAGAGGCCGTCATGAGGGCTCTCAGAGTTAGATGCCACCCAAAAAGTCGCTGTGTGGGCCGAGAGACCGGCATGGGGAGCACCCGACCGTACTGGACTCTCAGTAGTCCCAGATCGGCTTTTGTCTCTCATCACAAGTATGTAATAAATGATTTGACGGGCTGCTTGAAGGACAGCCTACGGATTTAGGGGGCGTCTTTCCCCATCAGGACAGGGGGCATCTTACCCCAAGGTACCGAAGTAACATTAAATCAGTACACTTTGTTAGCCATAAAACTACACCCTGAAACAAACTGTTTGGGACACAGTACACACATGTTAATGTATGACGACTATAGCAAGGGACGCAAAAATTATCTACCTTCTTTGATATTTACAATGTTTTGGCACCAAAATATTTTTGAAAGCAGCAAATAAAAAACATGCAATCACCAGCCAGCCGTTGCCCAACTGAGCTTCGCAAATTTTTGTGCAGTTAACAAGGCAGGCTTCCGCTTTATGCTACGAACATTAATTTCCAGGTTCGATTCTTTGTTTCGCCGCTAGAGGGGGTGGGGCGTCTTTCCCACCCTGGGCATCTTACCCCACTCTCCCCTATGTAAATACTTTCATATGCAGGAGGGGCATCCATGTGCATTTTTATTCTTTTTCTTTCTACCTTTTTCAATTTCCAGATGCCTTTAATTTTGAGTCTGTCCTGCATGACGCATTCTCATTCTTTTTGGAAGTGGTTTTCAGCGTTCAACAGCCACAAACTTCTGTCAACTTTGTGAATTTCAGTCGATGACACGGCGCCGCATGCAATCTGTTCACTCTGACTGCCGGGACGGATCGGTGCAGTGAATATTGGTCGCCATCAAACCGGCCGGCGGCGGCAGATCGGTCAGCTGACTGCGGCCGGGCTCATATACCGCCCCGCTGCCAGTTTATGCCGAACAGCCGAGACCAGATGAAGTTCTCAACAACACTGGTGGCCGGGCGATATTGTGATCCGGCCGGCCGGCGGCGCGTCAAGGGTCGGGCGAGCTCCACCACCTCTGCGACCTACCCCCGTTCCGAGTGGAACGAGAGTTCGACGGCGGCCGTAACTCGGCCGAGTTCGGCTCAGACCAACGACAGGGCACAAACCAAGCTTCTCGCCTCAAGAGCCACTCTGACACGGCCGCCTTTGAAGTCAGACGCCGACCTGACTCGAGCGAGAGCGCGTCAAAGACGTCGACGGGAGAGAGTGGGGACGGGTCCCCGAGCTCGATGATAAGCCGGTCACACCAGGCTCTTAGAACGCTAACAGTATAGTTCCTGTCCACCCTGACCCGCTCTCTAAATCCCAAACCCGGCGCTGGTGCGGAGTCTCCACCAAGAACACCGTCTCAGTTTTGCTCTCGACTTCTCCGCGGTGGCGGCCGGCGTCGGCACCCAATTTCCCGCGTGCTGGCCCGCCGCCATCGCCTATGATCCATTGTACGGGATTTAATAAGGCCGGGCCGAAATTAAATCGCTGGATGCCGCCGGCATTAGCCTGATCTGGTAATTAGCCCGGCCAACGATGACGTCACGAGCGGAACAGGTCGGTCGTCTGGGCCGCGCGCCGGACGCCGGCCGGCAGCTGCTGCCGCTGCTCCGCGTTTATGATGGCTTCAGGGAAGGCGGGTCGCTTGGGTGGGCTGGGCAAGACTGGCTGCTCGCTCGTTCTGTCTTCTGCGGACCTTCTTCATTATCTCGTGTTTTTGGAGAAGTAGGTAGACGTCTTCTTTAGAAATAGAGCTAATGTTTTCAGTCTGCTTGTTTCTATTAGAAACGGCAAATGTTTATGTGGAAGAAACGGTGGATGATCTTGTTATATGTGTAAGCGTACGGGACTGACTGGCCACATTAATCCCTGATCACTCTGATCAGCCAGCACTGCTTTACTGATAGGTAAGCGAAAGACGCGAGAGCTCTATAGAGCGTCAGTTTATACCGCCCCCAACAGATGGCGCCAGTGTAGGCGCCTGGCATGCATGCTGTGCCGCACAACACGGGCCAGGGTGGCGCGATGTGCGGAGGCCGCCGTCAGCTCTGGGAGACCAGCGGGCGTGGCGGTGGCAATGTCGGTCGCTCCAGGACGGCTGATCTCCGACCTAGATTGGTGTACTTTTTCCTCTCTCGCAAAACATTCAGTGACCACACCTCGACACAGATTGGTACCAGATGCAAAACATGTAAAATAAACCAGACAAAATGTTTCGAAATTGGATCGCAAGCATAGCTGATAGTGAAATATAAAAAATGAATGTCTTAAATGAATGTCATTGAATGAATGTCAATGAAAGCTGCACACAATTTCCAGACTCTGAACCATATTGACAGCAATTTCTCTTGGCGATTGGTCCTAACAGGTGACTTGGGACTGTCCTGGCACCCTGACTTGCGCTGACCTGACGGCCATCCCACAGGGACTGTACCAGTACCCTGCTTCGAGCCGATCGGACCAGGAATTATCCCAGCACCCCACCTAGAGTTCCTCGGCTGCTCAGAAGTAGGGCGGGTCCGTCCCACCTGGCCCCGCACCTGCCAGTCGGCCCTGCTGTCAGCGTTGAGGTCGAAATATGGGCCCGCGTGCCGAATCGATGGTGCATTAGAGCGTCAGTCGGGCCGGCCCGCCAACGAAGGCCGGCCGGCCGGGCCGCGCGCCCACGCCGGAATTAAAATCGACCTGGCGCGGTCAGCCTTTCGGCGGCCACAAAGACGCCGGGCGCCCGAGCGGTGCCGATCAAAGCACCACGCCGCGGCCCCGGCGCCGGAAACCGGAGCGGCCGCTGTCGCCACCGGCTGGAGCCGCCGCTGTCGCCACCGGCCGGCCGCCCCGCGGGCTGAGACCAAGAGCCGGGAATTGCGTGGACACGGCCAACCTTGTTATCCGGCGGCCGAATTGCTCTCACTGGTGTGAGTCCAGGTTAATCGCGTTAGTCGGCGCGCCGCACGGCCGCCTCTGTCGCCGGTAATTATATCACAACACGACGCAGCGACGAAGGAAGTGCCGGCGCAGGAGACCGCGCGCGACGAGACGACCGGGAGCAACACGTGCCCGGGGGGACGGAGCGGTGTCACGTGCCCATGGGGACGGGATGGTGACACGTGCCCGAGGGGATGGGGAGGTGGCACTTCCCCGTGAGGCCTGGATGGTGACACGTTCCCGTGGGGACGGGATAGTGACGGGGTCAGATGGTAATTGTGACACAGTACCACAGGTCGCAGAATGGTGACGATTGCCCGCGGCGGGGACAGAGTTCTGTGACACGGTAGGAGTGTACGGAATTGTGACAACCAGCTGGTGAGTGGTGATGGCGTCACTTCCCTATACGGTTACGGCATGGTGGCAGGTTTGGTTGTAATGGTGACACGGGGCAGCAGGGAAAGGTAATTACGACGCTCTGGGGTGGTAATAACTACATATTGTTTCAGACGACTGACGCAAAAGAAAGTTTGCGCGCACTCACCCATATGAAATAAAGACACCTACGCATTCACCCATCCTTTGGAAGATTTGTACGCAACGATGGATGATGCATTTACCCGCTCGAGTTGAGTCCCGACTAAGGGAACACACTGACCCCGGCCGGTCAGCATCGCCCGTAGTCCGAGTCCGTCATTCAGAGAACGGAAACGACTGTAGGGATAAAGTCAGGATTTTATGCATCGGTACACCAAGACTCGTATGCACAATTCCTAAAATCGTCATTGGCAATGAGAGCTATTGCTATCAAGAGGGTTCGAATACTCATACTGTTATTGAATTCATGAAAACGGTTTGTATTGAACCGTGTCGTGACTAGAGAGTTCAACTGATATTTCGGAGTAATATTGGCAATAACCTTCAAATGATGCCCTCGTTACATAAAATGAGATACTCCTCACGCAAATTGCTTTTCAACTAATAGCGTGACAGTGTCAAAACTCCTGGTTTAGAAATAAAACATGCACTTGAGTCAAACTCTATTATGTATAGATCAAATGATGGCCTCAAAAACTTAGACATTCTAAGTGTGCATTAAAATGTTATCGTCACTGCACACATTCCGCTAATTATTATCTACCAATCTTCGCCATTCACACAGACCGCGCTAATGTCACTCAGTCATGCCTCTGACCCCCCGCCCCGGTCCGTTTCCAGGCGAGCTCCGCCGTGCTGCCGCCGGGACCGGTCAGCCACTGCCGTGCTGCCGCCGGGACCGGTCAGCCGCTGCCGTGCTGCCGCCGGGACCGGTCAGCCGCTGCCGCCTGCCGCCGGGACCGGTCAGCCGCTGCCGCCTGCAGCCCCCTGTTATGACGGACGCCGCCCAGTCACCGCTGCCGAGTGGCCCTGTCGAGTTCCGCGGCTGTCAGTGACGGCCACAGCATGCTGGTCTCCGCCGCCGGGTGGCGGCCTCAGTGGACCCTGGCCCTGCTGCTCGCCACAGCCGCGCCCGCCGCCGCCGTCGATCTCGGTAAGTGCAATGGCTTCGGCTGGTACTTACCAATTACATTTATATGGCACGAAATATTGAAAAAAACCTGCACTCATTACAGTGATTGTGCCCAATTTTCTACACTTATTAATTTTGGAGCCTAATCAACTACATAAAAGAACATTTTTTCTCCGCTTAGTTGCTAAACAAATAAACAATACCAGATAGTTACACTTCTTTCTGTCCTTCTTTAGCGTGGTATTGACCTGCAGTTGTGACTTTGCTGATTAGTTATTTGAGCCTTAACTACTTAGTCGAACGTGTGCTTATCAAATGACCTGTTGGACTATGAGCATGAGCTACTTACATGACATGATGGGTTCAAACGTTTAAAACCACCCCGGCTTCCCCCCGTAATCCTTGCATGATCATTTTTCTCTTTAGAGGGTCCTTCCTTTTACCTAAATGAAGACCAGTCTCTCACATGTATTATGGGACGTTCGCGATAGAAAAGGAGTCGAGTGAATTCCTGTCGGCCAAAGACCTTCGGAAATTGCTCAGCTGGAGGCCGTTTGCACGCGCGTCGCGCGGCCATCGATTTGAGCGGGGCGGGGTACTGTGCAGGGGTCACGCCAGGTCAGTGGCGGACATTGGCGGCCTCATCGGGCGGCGGTGACGGTACGTCCGGGCCGCCTTATTCCCCGGTCCGGCCGCACGTCCGCCGCTAACGCCGCCGGCGGCGCCGTGCCGCGCCACTATTGACGCGGCGCGCCTGTATAGAGGCGCGATAGTGGCCGCTCCATTCCAGGCCGGTGTATTTCGGGCCGTCTGTCAGCCGGCCGCCGCGTTACCGACAGGAGCCAGGTGCACCACTCCCTGTATAGCCGAGGCTGACGGTGGCGCTGGCGTCCTCGCCAATACGCCGAGTGACGAGACGCCTTTGCTGATCGGTAGTACGGCGTCTCGGCGCACATCTGACCCAACTACGGATCACTCCGCTGCACTGGTCACCCCACTCCAGAGTAACCCTCTCTGGATACCTCTGGCCGGCATCCGCGCCGTTTTGGCCGATCAGTTTGAATAATACAGCGGCACGGTTATCGACCCGGCCGACTGGTCGCATTTGGGCCGCGGGCCGGCCGGCCGGCGCTCGGTAGAGGTGTCCCGTGGGCACCAGCAGCCGGCCGACACCTGTGCAGGCCTGCAAGGGCGCCCGTGGGAGCCGACGACCGCTGCACTGCCGCGTGACGGGTCGCTCCACGTCCCACGGCTGACCATGGCGCACCGGACCACGACCTGCTACTGTGCGTTATACGAGGGACCGCTGCACATGGAATCGCGACCGTCAGCGCCGAAAGACGGACTGCCAGCAACGTGTGGTATAGACACAAGACAGTCGACAGTCGGTGCTGTTTGACGGACCGTCCGCTGCATGCCCTAAAACGGACAGTCAGCGCTATACGACGGACCGGTGTGTGCGGACGACAGACCGCTGCGTGCCGGACCACAAGGAACCGTCAGCGCCGTACGGCGGGCCTACAGCGCCGTACGACGGGCCTCCAGCGCCGTACGACGGGCCTACAGCGCCGTACGACGGACCAGTGCAGTGGTGCGCTGAGGCACCACTGGTTTGTAGATGACCCCTTTGGGAGCTAGAGATTAGAGTTCTGCACGGCTGCAATTTTCCACAGCCTAGCCGCCCCGCAGCCGTGGCTCCACAGCCACAGCCGCCCACAGCCGTGGCAAACTGTGGGCAGCCAGCCGTCAGCCGGCCGTGGCTACTTTCAATGAAATGCAACCAAATAGTATATAATATTAAGTTGTTTTTAGTTGAAACATATAGCCAAAAGCACATTGCAATGGGCTATAGATTCTCAAGCTCATGAAGCATCATAGGTTAAGTGGTTGTATATCTGGCTTTAGGCCGAAGGCCTGAAGCCTGATGTGCAACGCATGCCTACACAAGCCCTTGCAAGGGGTTAAGAAAGATGGGTAGGTAGGTACCTACATCAACAGAAAACATAAACAACGAACCAGAATAGAAGCACTAGCAGTGTAGAAATCTAATGCCAAATCCTGAAGCATGGTTGTGGGACAGAACAGACCCTGATGCTTTTCATTATCAATGTTAGGTTAGGTATGGAAAATGAAACTGAAGTTGATGGACTGTCAAACAGTGATTGTCTAGTCAAAACTCTTGCTTCTTTCTTACCTTGCATATTTTCTGGGGTGTGATATGCCAGGCTTGAAGCAGCCTTCTGAGCAAGTCTAAAACTAATTTGATATGCAAGGCATCAAAACACTAGTGAGCACCCAACAAAGAAAAACATTCATCTATTTTGATTTTTCCAAATAATGATCTTCGCTCAAATCCCCAAGGACGTGCGAGCCACAATTGCCAGTCTTTCAATCAAAAATTTTACTTGAGTTTTTAATGACGTCAATAGCAAAGAAGTGGCAATAAATTGTTTTTGTCACTATAAACAGCCATGAAAATAATAATTATTAAATAATAATGCTATTTAGTTAAAAAATTGCTCTCAAACAAAGATTAGGTATCAAATTTTAACATTTTCAGAAGAAGACGTCAGTTTATTAGTAAAGTCAACAGCTCGCGTAAGAAATATTGTGTTCAGGGTTTTCACCGTCATGTGAATTACGTGTTCAGGGTTTTCACCATCATGTGAATTAACCGTAAGTAAGGTTCATGGTCACTTATAATCTAATTCCATTGGCTCCGTTGATCAGCATTTTCTGTTAGCGGTCACTCACACACCAGTTAGAACATAAAGCGCCAGTTTTATATTATGTAATTGGACTTGCCGAAAATCCAGAAATACTTCTAAGAGTTATTTTAGATAATATTTTATGAAGCCTTTACCTAGGCGTGATTTCTTTTTCTATTACCTGAAAGAATTATTGAACGCTCGTCTTCAATAGCTGTAAGGTGTTTTCCTAATGACCAGGTGAGATTGATTTGAGAGGGATGTCACAATGCAGCATGTTGCATTTTCTGAAACTGTCAAGCTCTTGATGATGAAGGAACAATTGGTACCTATAATTAGTATTCTGTACCAGAGTGCAAACTCCCCTACAGCAAATGGTAAAACCATTACAGGTTTTCAAAGGCTTCACCACTTTCAATGTTGCTGGGCATCCTTTGCATGATTTTTACAGGCTAGACTGCTTATTAGAATGTAAGATTAAGGATTTAAAATTTTATATTTGAGTACTTAAGATTGAGCTGTAAATCTCACAGCCGTGGCCACAGCCGTAGCCGTGTTCTTGGAGATATTTGCAGCCGCCCCGGCCCACAGCCGTGGGGCTGCAGCCAGCCGCGGCTGCAGCCGGCCGGTGCAGACCTCTACTAGAGATTCTAAATTCGGCGCCGTCTGAGAGAGAATCACGCTCTCTGAGCGGTGGGGACATAGTATTCGTACTACCAGTTGTGGATCTGGTAAGAGACCATACTGTGTAGCAGATATGGCCTTCTGGAATCAAACCCCTCTGGATTCGCTTTGATTTTACGATAATTGTATTTTGCAGTTTGAAATTTCGATTTGATCTTGCTATTCTCCTCCCGACAAACGAAGATCTAGCATCTACTTGAAATACCCACTGCCCCATCAATCATATGTATTGAAGTTTGAAGGGATATTAAATAGAGAGAGAGAGAGAGAGAGAGAGAGAGAGAGAGAGAGAGAGAGAGAGAGAGAGAGAGAGAGAGAGAGAGAGAGAGAGAGAGAGAGAGAGAGAAAGAGAGAGAGAGAGAGAGAGAGAGAGAGAGGGAGAGAGAGAGAGAGAGAGAGAGAGAGAGAGAGAGAGAGAGAGAGAGAGAGAGAGAGAGAGAGAGAGAGAGAGAGAGAGAGAGAGAGAGAGAGAGAGAGAGAGAGAGAGAGAGAGAGAGAGAGAGAGAGAGAGAACTCATGGAAGCCGCTTTTCCAATAGGGATGACGCAACAGCGCAGATTGAGAAACATACAAAGAACGGATTAGGCATCAGCCTCGACGAGCGACTCAAAGCACGGTCCATGCAAATAGTCTCGCTGCTATCCCCCAAGCATTACCGTCAACCACCTTACTAGAAGATATATCTGTAGGTATGTACAGATAGAGAGAGAGAGAGAGATATGATAGAGAGAGAGAGAGAGAGGTCAGTGGTATGTGCACACTCGCTGAGGACAGATTCATCCTGTTTGAGGACCGACAATATCCTTTCCTTTCCACGGCAAACGCCGCTCATCCTCATCATGGTCTCTAAACTCTGGCTGGGTAGGCTGTTCCGCAGTGCACCTTTGCGTTGCGGTACAGTCTAACCAGAGTTCGAGAACAGCCGAGGAGTGGATATTTGCTGACGATGGAGCAAACAGCGATTATGTTTTTTTCTTTACTGAATAAACTGATTCAGTTTTCTTTTGTGTAAGCTCGGGATGTGTAAATATACCAAGACCTACTATTTACAAAGCACCATTGCGGCAGGACGAGCGTAGGTGATGTACAGTGGATCTAGTAAGGATCTCCAGACGAAACTAGATGGCGTTGAGCCTCAGTCGAGTCCATGTGAGATTCAAGGAGAGGTCACTACTAGAAATGTCAATCGGATACCAACTTTTTGGTATACCGATACCAAACCGATACCAACTTGGTATTTGGTATTTCAATCGTAATGGGTTTGGTATTTTGTTGGTATCACAAGCCCTCACTAATGTATAAGAGGCTAATAAATCGGTAAAAAGTTGGTATTTCCCTCAGTTTCCCAAGTTGGTTTGGTTTCGGTATTTTCCCGTGGTTTTGGTTGGTACTTGGTTTGGTATCGGTATTCCGATTTTCCGTAATTGACATCACTAGTCACTACCGAGCTGAGCCCGGTGGGGAGGTGGGGAGGGGGCGGGGTGGGTGGCGAGGGCACGGTGCGGGTGACCTGTCAAACAGCCCCGGCGCGGTGGGGCACTGCCGTAGGCAAATGGCGCACTCCAGCGTTGTTCCATATCGCGGTGGTGGGCCGGGCGGCCGGTTAGCTTGGCAGTTGGCTGCTTGGAAGGAAAGGATAATGAGGCATGGGTTTGCTGTGACCGGTTCATCTACTGTCAACTATGATGAACCCAGAGTAATGCAAATGTGACGTTGGTAAATGCTAGCGAAAGCTCCTGGCGCCCGGTAGCTATTATAAGGATTAATATTATTTATGTCTCCTGAAATTTTCATTGAATATAATTCAAGCAATAGAAAGATCGTATCGTTCGCCAGTTTTTTGACCGGCTGGCGTTTCTTGCGTATAAGAGCGCCCTTTGGCAAATAATTATCATGCAGGTGATTTTTTTTTTTACTGGTAAGAGGGGCTTTTAAGGTCAAATCAAGTCGCTACGAGAAGATGAGGAAAAGTAGACGAATGCCACATTTATGTGTATGAAGTCTCGAGGTAAAAAAGCTAAAAGTTAATATACGTGTAAGCTAAAAATAATAAGATCAGTTAATAAAAATATTTGACCCGAAATTAGCCTCTGTTTTGTCTGACCATGATTGCGTGTAAGACACCGGTCCAACCGGGTTCAACCCGGCCCAACCTGGTTCGGCTCCCCCTTTTTAATATCAAATTTGGCCCGAACCTTTTGAATGAAAGGTATCACAAGGACAGAGTCCCCGCTAAGCTCAGCTTGTTGCGTTGACCCTGCTCTCTACCCTCCGATCAAACAATTCCTGATCTATGGCAGAATTAGAGTCCAAATTTTAACGTGCGCACATAGCCGCGCACGGCCGGTCCCCTCAAAGACTTCGCCTGACAGCGGCCTGCCACCAACCACAACCATACCCGTCAGGAGGCTCAAAAACGTCAAACACACGTCGTGTTTCGAACCCGGACTTTTGCAACCGCGGGACGTGCGCTCTCACCGCATGGCACATGGAGTCCAACTCTCTACCGACCGAGCTACCGGGACGGACATTTACCTTGCGGTTTCGCCTCGTGACATTGACAGACGTCAGACACTTTGGCCGAACTCTAGCCGAAACACTGAGCAAGCTGCGCAGGGCGATAGGTGCTCGTAGCGTTGAGGTTGAGTAACCTGTGAGTTGAATGCGATGTCGTGAGTTCAAGCCCCACTCCCGGGTCTGGTTTTATCTCGACACGAACCAAAACCTCTCCTTCTACTGCAACACAGGTAAGCACAATGACATCTTTTCCCAATACCCTCTCAAAAAAGTCAAAATTATCGCTTATAAATGTTTAGCAAAGTTTAATTTTTAAGAAAATATTTTTGGACATTTTTCTGGAGCCATTTCAAATCTTTTTTCTTTTCCGATTCTTTTCGGCCCGAAAAAAACACCAAAACTGAAGATGCCAAATGAAAAATATATAACTCAAATAACAGTTTAGAAAAGCCTCATCATGCATCATGAAAAGCATCATGCAACTATCGACTGAATAGTTGCATGCTATGAATGCGTCCTAGATTTCAATTACCTATCATTGTTCAACATTTTGGCTGGAACTGACGCTGCCTCTGGCTTGCCCGTTTGTTTGAGATAATGATTCCCTTCAGTCGCATTCTTGCTGGTTCCATATGAACAGGATACCACCATACCGGAGTGAACGCACCCGCAACCATCATCCCCTCCCCTCAGCCTCGGCGCAGTGGCGGGCGGCCCTGGGCGGCCCACTCCCGGCGCTACGCACGCCCTATGCGCCGTGATACCGCGTCACTCCTCCTCCTTCCTTCCCCCACAATGACTGGTGACCTCACTTCCCTCGGGATTTGGACTCGCCCTACCCCGACCGTAGCGCCACGTGGTGGCTCTGGAGATCTTAAATAGACCCACTGTACATCGCACATAGATGGCTAGACCCTCAGTGGACGCAAAATGCATCACATGCTGCAAGGATAAGATTTTCCCACAAACTGAATTCCTTACTCCGGTTCAGCTATTCACGGAAAGCATCTATTCAAGGAACACAGTGTGAGTAGGCTTCCCTTACTCACATTATCAACCATTTAGAATACCAGGCATGTCTTCTGTATTCCACCACGCGTACCAAGTCCAACATCATAACAAGAGGCACAAGACAGGGAATCTGTTATTTTACGGGGAACAAATGGGTATGCAATATACATTATAAACGCTAATTATCATAATGTTGAGAAAGCACCTGAATGTTTGTCTTGAGCTGTTGCACTTACAGTGCACGTTTTTTTACAGGAGCATGTCGGCTTCCGCTGGGGGTCACATCCGGTCAAATTAAGGACGACGCTATGACGGCCTCCTCCAGCTATGACGAGAATAACACTGGACCGCAGAATGGCAGGTGAGCACAGCAGGGAGAGAGGGAGAGAGAGAGAGGGAGAGAGGGAGAGAGGGAGGGAGAGAGAGAGAGAGAGAGAGAGGGAAGAGAGATAGGAGAGAAACTGACCAATGCCATCTTCAAAGATGAAAACATTGATCTATTTCGTGCGGGAAGTGTAACGAGCTGCAATTAGCTCTGATGTTTTTTATGATTTAGTTATTAGTGCGCAGTGTTCAGCGTCCTCAGTGTGCTCACCTGACGCTGTCCTCCCCCAGGGTGAGCGTGGAGCGGGCGGCGGGCGCCTGGTGCCCGCTGCATCCCGTGTCGCGCAGTTCGCGCGAGTTCCTCGAGGTGGCGCTGCCGTCGGAGCACGTCGTCACCGCCGTGCTCACCCAGGGCCGCTACGGCCGCGGCCAGGGCGTCGAGCACACCCGGACGTTCACCCTGCAGTACTGGCGACAGGGCGTCGGATGGAGAAACTACTCCCTGTGGGACGGCTCCACGGTAAGTCCCCTGGACAGGGCACTGAGGTTACATTCCAGGTGGACACAGGTCACATAGCTCGCAGGTGCAAATCACAGGCGGTCATAGGAGGAGGTTACAGAGGTCACAGGAGGTCACAAGCCACAGGGGAGGTGAGTGTGACAGGAGAAGGCCACAGAGGTATATAGCACAGAGGCAGTAGCAATAGCAGATGAGGAGGTCACAACTAAGGGAGATTGAAGTACGCGAAAAAGGTCACACGGTAGCTCCAGTGAAGACTAACATTTTCTGTTACCTCTGTGTACCCGGTACTGTGACATACGCAGGTTATTTATGACCTGTGCCTCAAAATCAATGTTTCTATACAACCGGACACGGGACAGGAACCACGAGCGCAGCGCCTTTTCAGTCGGACGGTCACATGTGTCCACATTACTGTAGTGAATGACTATCGATCCTGAAGAGACCGCGCTGGCTGGTCAAATGAACACAGTGGGCGGGTACCAGCTGTAAGCCGCTAGCGGGCCTGCAAAGTTCGTCCAAGTTCCTCACAATGATGATGTACATTGTGCATAGACTGGCTATTGCTGTGGAGGAACATGCGACACGAGTTCGTCCCAGTCTGGACAGGTAGTATAATTTACCGCCATACACAAACAAAACAGGTTTATGAAGCTTTAGGTGCCTTCACTGCGTTCTCTGTGACACATGTATGTTGAATTATACACCTGGCCTAAGCAATTACGGCAGCAAATGCTTACTGTGCTCTTATTATGTAATCAGCAGCGCCTTGGTAACAGCCACCCTTTCCGTCATTTGTAACGCGAGTCCAGCCTCTCAGCCCGTGTTTCTGTGCCCGGACGGCCAGGTAACAAGATCCATTGACCCCGAGAGAGGTGTCACCGCGTCCCCGGACCCTCGAGATCCACCCACACACTGCCCACGGTACGGCGCTAATTGGCTCTGTTCCCTAGCGGCCTGAGCTGCCGACTCTGGAGTGTAGTGCAGGTGGAAGGGAAGAAGGGGGAGGGGGGAGTCAGTCCAGACGGCAGCGATCGACAAAACAGACCAGCCGACATCTGTTACTCCGCCGAAATAACCATTCACAAAGTTAACCTTTTCGCCTGACATGGAAACATGACAGGAGCTGTACTACCATCACTAGCCCTCGCCCGCACATGGGGGGGGGGGGGGGTTGCCACCCCCAGGTAGTCTTTCTGCTCTGCACTCGACATTTTTAGAGCTAGATAGCTGATTTTTCGTATAGCTGCTCCTCTATCCTTTCTTGATGTCCACTGAAAATTTCAAGTTTCTGTGATTTTTGGTTTTGGAGATATGACCTTGTTTTTCAGGTCATGTCATGACCCAAATGGCCAAATCTCAGCATCTTGCGTTTGCCATGGGCCTTGTGAGCTTTTGACACCTTGATTTCGGTCTTTTTTGCCAGTCTTACCTCCCACCTATCGCGGAACATGTTGTTCGACGATGTACAGGTGTCAAGGTCAGGGTCAAGGTCAACCTAGGTCATCTAAGATAATTGCGTTTTAGGCAAGCTGAATTTACTTTTTGTGAAGTTTTTTACTGCATTTTTGGTAAAAGCTTCTCAGGTCATGATTTCATGTAATATGGACACAAAAACAATCGGTGCACACATCAGTATACACACAGACACACACAGACATACAAACACATATAATTGACCTTGACCTAACTTGACCTGAAATGACCTCAGCAGCAAAAATCTGGTCGGGTAGTGTGACAAAGAGGTTCTAGCTGGCTTGGCACCAGAAAACAGCATCGTCATCGGTATATGATAAGCAGCGCACTTGATATCCAACGGTGACCCAAAACAGCAACATTTTTTAGTTTGACCTGACCTGGAAGATCAATGACTGGCCTAGGAGAAGGTAAAACTGGGTATCATTGGATTCGTCTCTTCCCAAAGAATCTTTTTGGTCCTTACCGCTAAGCTCTATCTCCAACAGGAACGAAATGGCGCGGGGGGGTGGCAACCACCCCCCTCCCCATGTGCGTTCTAGGATGGGAAAATGGCATGTGCGGGCGAGGGCTAGAAGGCCTATGTGTGTAATGTGACATGTAAATAGATAGGTAGGTACTCTAGTTTGATTCTGAGCTAATAAAAACTCAATCTCACCATAGCACAACCGCAATTATGATTCAACAAACACTGGATTTGTCCGATATTCGTTTGAGATGATACCAAGAGACAACTAGACAGAATGAAATCTAGCTAAACACCGCCACTTCCGACAGCCTGTTTGACGTCCCCTGCTGTCACCGCCAGATCCTGCCCGGCAACACGAACGTGGTGGACGTCAAGGAGAATGCGCTGGTGCCGCCGATGGTGTCCTCCCGGGTGCGGTTCCTGCCCTACAGCGAGTACTCGCGCACCGTCTGCCTGCGCGTCGAGCTGCTCGGCTGCCGCAGAAAAGGTGAGAGATACTGGAGAAATGGTAAGGGCTGCTCAGCTGCCGCAGAAAAGGTGAGAGCTGCTGGAGAAATGGTGGGGGCTGCTCGGCTGCCGCAGAAAAGGTGAGAGATACTGGAGAAATGGTGAGGGCTGCTCGGCTGCCGCAGAAAAGGTGAGAGCTGCCGGTCTTTTGTTGTCTCTCCATTTCTCTACTCTCTCTCTCTCTTTCTCTTTCTCTCTCTCTCTCTCTCTCTCTCTCTCTCTCTCTCTCTCTCTCTCTCTCTCTCTCTCTCTCTCTCTCTCTCTCTCTCTCTCTCCCTCTCCCTCTTTCTCTCCCTCCCTCTTTCTCTCTCTTTCTCTCTCCTCTCTCTCTCTCTCTCTCTCTCTCTCTCTCTCTCTCTCTCTCTCTCCCACATAATCATCAAACTTACGCCACATTGCGTCGCTGTTTTGCTTGCAAAATGCCCATATGATAAGCAAACACGGAAAAAACGCGTGCGTTCCCAATGTCAAGATATGCTTTCCTGTCCGACGGTACTCCCATTGAGTGTTTATGGCATTGTCCACCTTTCACGACCGGGTCACGATAGAGGTGGAGCGTTCCATGGCAAAATGATGATGAATGGGACGTGCATGATCCATGGCGCAGGTAAATGGCCTAGGCTCGTCGCACTTTTCCCACGTTTGTCTGGGTCCGATGGGCAGGAGCAGGCGATGAAGGTGCAACAAATGGTGCCATTATCTTCTTTACTGGTTCAGACATCTGTACAACCTGATTACCTGAACCATATCAGGCATCAATTTGCATTGGTATGTTGGTTTTTCATATTGATTGGCGTCTGATTTGAACACACGTTCCCACAAACATATTATAGTAGGTAGTTGCTTATCATCGTCTTGAACGCATACCCATTTCTTAAAGCTATCCGTAGACTTGTGTAAGAAAGAATACAATAGTTACCGCCGAGTAGAAACACATTTGAATCACCAGTAATGGAACGTTTACAACATTATCATTTTGCAGTTAGAAAATATAGAAATATTAGCCGTTTCCACGACGGCACATTTGGTCACATTTGAGGAGATTTGGTTAAATTAAGTTCGTAGTTGATACTCGATTCTTAGCCCGCGCGGGGCTGGGGTCTCCAGCCGAACGCGCGGGGCTGGGGGGGGGGTAAATTTTACCCCCCCTGTTATCTCCCGAACTAATGGTCCGATTTGGAAAATTCAAACGCCAATCGAAAGCTCTCATCAAGAACTACTAAAAACATGTACTTAATTTAAAGTTTGAGGTCAAGGTCAAGGTCAGGTCAAGGGTACAAATTGCAAGTTTCTACAGTATCGGCCTTGCACCGTAGTTGCCGAAGAATGGAGTCATGGACTGAGACTGATCGCCCAAAACGTGTTCTTAGGCTACCAAGACAATATTCGTTGCATACAATATCATTCAGAGGTCAAGGTCAAGGTCAGGTCAGGTCAGGTCAGGTCACCAAAAAACAAAATATAGAAAAGGGCATGTGCGACACATGTTTTATGGGTCATTTTACTCATAGAATTCAATAGGCACACTCAATAAGTGATATAGACCACCTCTGGATGAATTTCAGGTCGAGGTCAGGTCAAGGTCAGGTCAAGTGAGGTCAAATTTTGAAGTTGGTTGTTAAGGCCTAAAAAGGTGTCTATCTGATGCAGTTTTTCACGGCGAATCGAATGGTGCTATTTTTGTTTCCGTACGAGGTCTAGAACTTCCAAAAAAGTCATTTTTCAAAAAATTTGTGTGTCGTGACGTCATAAAATTTTGAATAACTCCCACATTTTTGAACCGATTCTTCTAAAATTTGGTATGTAGGTGCACATAGACCACTTCTCTGACATATATTCCGGTTTTTTCGATAGACTCAAAATTTTGGATTTTATAATGATTTTCCCAAAAAAGTCAGTTTTTTGAAAAAAATTAGGCCAAAATCCAAAAGTTTCAAAAAACCGAGATAGCCATTTGATAGACAAAGTAAAATTACGTATAACCTTTTTTGTTACGTCTTGATTCCTTTAAAAATGAAGATGTTAGCGGCGTTTGAACTTTTGCCGTTTTTGAGGCGAAAATGGCGAACATGACGTCACTAAAACGTCAATTTCTCAAAAATTTTCCGACGGATTTCGCTCAAATTTTCAGGGAACGTGTCAAATTGATGTAAGAAAAGGTACTGAAAGTTTGGCGGCGCTGCGCGCCGCCGTTTTTGAGATATCGCAAAAATTCTTGAGGGGGGGTAAAATTTACCCCCCCAGCCCCGCGCGGGCTAGTAGTTTTCAGCTTAGGTTGTTATTAGTTGATTTTATTGGTACCTTATTTATGAAATTATCAGACATTTTACTCGATGAAGGGATTGACATGAATTTACATGAAGATACTTGCTGTAAAACAGAGTTTGCTAGCTTTGGTCAAGTTTGGTACATTTTGTCTGATAATAATCCGTCGTGAAAACGGCAATAATCATCTGTGAACTCGTTGTAAGATCTACAAATACCACAATGCACAATAAGGCATAAGTGGTTTCTTAAATGAGAATTGTTTATCTGTTATTTTTTACCCTTTCATGCACTCACATTACGCACGTCAATACAGACGATGTAATGTTTGGCATACGTGGAGACACTGGAGCGCGGTTTGACGCCCTCCCCCGGGATTTAGCTGCGAATTTCGGCGGTCGTCGCTGGCCGGCCGCGGCGCCATTAGAGCCGCGGAGCATGGCCGCCATCAGGTAATTGGTATCCGCCGTCTGCGACTGTGAATTTCATTTCCTTCGGCCGTTCCCGGTAATTATTAGGGCGCCAAGTCAGTGACCTGCGCCGTTCTCCGGCTGATGGCACCTGGCCGGTGGCCTGTGAAATCTGACGGGGATGGGCGGGGCGCGGCGCTCCTCTCATGGTGCGGCGGGCGCCGGCGAACGATCGGCGGCCGCCGCCCGGATGGGTCGTACCGGTAACGAGGCTGCCGAGCCTCAGAGGGCCATCGACCACCAGACACAGAGAGAGACGGTGGGTGCAGCAGTGGAGCAGTGGTGGAGCACAGATACAGGGAGACAGGGAGACTTGGAACTGTGCAGTGGAACGGAACCGCTGAGGGACAGCGGTGGAGCACAGCTACATACAGGGAGAGACAGGGGCCGCAGCGGAACGGTAGTGGAACACAGAAGTACAGAGACAGAGAACGACACAGGGGCAGAGACCGATACGGAAGGGACAGTTTGTGGTGGCTACGTGGCCGTCTGGGACTCATTACGTGTACTTACTTTAAACATGTTTCATCCAATACATTGTATAAACGCAATCGTATGCTAGAATTTGGATGCATGCTGCGCGCCAAAGTATAACTATGTACGAGCTGTGTCCCTCTCAAGTTCGTGCATCTAGAGATTGCACTGTTTACGCATTCCTAGCATCTTCAAAACATCAGGCTCCTGACACTGCTCCCCTGCCGCCTGCCGCAGACGGCCCCCTGACACTGACCCCCTGTCGTCCGCTGTACACGGCCCCCTGACACTGCTCCCCTGCTGTTCCACCGCAGACGGCCCCCTGACACTGCCCCTGCCGCCTGCCACAGACGGCCCCCTGACACTGACCCCCTGTCGTCCGCTGTACACGGCCCCCTGACACTGCCCCTTCTGTCGCTCGCCGCAGACGGTCCCCTGACACTGTCCCTGCCGTTCCACCGCAGACGGTCCCCTGACACTGCTCCCCTGCTGTTCCACCGCAGACGGTCCCCTGACACTGCCCCTTCTGTCGTCCGCCGCAGACGGCCCCCTGACACCGCCTTCTCTACCGTCTGCCGCAGACGGCCCCCTGGCCTACTCGGTACGCCAGGGGGACGCCTACTCTCCGGAGATCAGCCTCGGTGACCTGTCGTTCGACGGAGAGGTGCGCCGCGGCTTCCTGTCGCGGGGGCTCGGCCAGCTCAGCGATGGCATGGTCGGCGGTGACAGCTTCCTCGACGACCGGGGGTACGGAAAAGGTGAGTCCAAAAACCTGCATGTGCAGTGCAATACAAAAAAAAAACACCACTTAGCTGTATGTATGTCATGCTTAGAACCGCGGAATATGCGATGCGATTAGAAGAAAAAAAAAATGTGCTAGCTGTTGAGCGAGCTGGCAGATGCGTTTGTTTGTTTGAAAGCCTTACGAAAGACGAGATTTAAATCAGATGATGTCGACTCCCAGACATGCAATCTGTCTTATATAAAACTGCGATTGAGGGATCGCACAGTCATTTGTTGGAGAACAGTTTAAAAAAAAAATATGTAGATCAATATTCCACCCGCTTTTTGACGTCACAGAATCTGTCAGTGTAAATTTCCTGTCATAACACTGCCATTGCAAGACTAAATGCTTTCTTTCTTCTTTCAATTTTTTTTTTCTGGAACTTAAATTGCGCGAAGTAAAGGCATAATTGAATGGTATCCAACTGAATTGAAAGACAAAGGGCCTCCTTTCCGAGCAATGAACTCTTAATTTGTGACAATGCGTGACTTGCTTATAGAACCGCGACAGTGTAAAGGAAATCTTTCTTTTGGGAAGTTGCCCACTCTGGGACTTGTAATCAAGTTAAGCTTTCAAAGTGTTACACCTTTGTCAATGTGTTAGCGATGTGTCCAACTGTGTTTCAGGATACGAATGGGTAGGATGGGCGAACAACGCATCTCAACAGTATCCAATTGAGATTACGTTCGAATTCGATGCCGTACGAAATTTCTCGCAAGTATCACTCTTCACCAACGTGCACTACAGTCGAGGAATTCAGGTGAGACAACCAGCGTCAATGGTCGTAGCGTTGGGCTCCTCGGAAAGTTGCTAAGACCAAGTCGTTATACACTATGCTGGTAAGTCACCTGCCCCCTTGGGCTAGGGGGAAATTATTTACTATTTATTTGATGGCGTGACTTTCAATTACAGGTATAAAAAGTTGACGTAAAATTAAACAGTTTCTATCGTGGATCTAGTCATAAATCATTGCTCTTTTATCAAAGTTATTTTGATAATGCATATGACAAGTGAAACTTCCACGACTTGCCAACCATGACGTTAGCGAATGACTGCTTGCAATAATCAATGTCGTACTTTTGACGGTGTTTTACGTCTATTATATTTGATCAATTACACCAATTACTGAGTAATGTGAACTGTGGCGCTTAACCTGCCTGTATTGCCACACCACTCATACCCTGACATACGTGGATAGCGTCTGTCGACATACATCAAACCCCCGTCAGCACTGCCATCGACAATGGCCATCGGGAGAATTGACAGCGCCCAAAGCCATGTGTCAAAGCGATGGCAGCGCGATGGTTTTGTGTCGGTAGCCGGTCGCCCCTTAGGACCTATCATCGCTGCCGTGGAGCCAGGGGAGCGCTTCCCCGTCCAGCTACTAGCACATAGCTGACGTTCCACTGAAATTAACGAGTGCTGCTTTATTGCCGATGGATGACGCTAAGCCTCACGTTTCGTGCAAAGCCTACGCAAACGACTGACAATCCATTGAAAGGTCAAACAGGTTACAGATCGTTCCTTGGTGCAGAACAAACACATTTGGTGCAGTGAGCGACGACAGGACGATGTTCACTCGAACCGTCTGTCAGCAGCTAACCACAGTAAATGAACCAGCTGGGCCCACGGAAGTCTGACAAGCGTCTATTGCTTGCAACCATTGCTATAACGTAATGCGCTGCTGGTGGATTCCACAGTTGAATGCCCATTCTTTTGCTAAGTTTATAACATAATTGATGAACTTAGCTGCACGGAATTTCGTGGAATGCAAATTTCAATTCGGTTTCATAATAATGAACTAATGTTTCATCTATGTTGGGCGCTAACTTTAGCCACCTGACGTATCGAGCGTCTGATGAAATAGGATCAGTAGGATCATTGAATGCATTGACTCTGCGTGAGGTATTTTATTGCAATATCTTATATTTCATATTCAATGAATTTTAGTCCGGCACATGCTTAGGATCATTACGTCCTTATATTCGCATAAATATTCTCCAAGCTTTACATGGCGGTGTTTTCATCACAGACAGTTGTTTAACACAAAACACTGGTACTAAATTAAATGATTAAGAATATAGAAGCCAAAAGCATATAAACTTTATATAGCGTTGCTGGAATACTATAAGGACACGGGCATTGTATCGTATCGTCCTGTTCTGCGCAGATTTTCTCGCTGGTCCGAGTGTTTTTCTCGGACGGCGGTAAGCTGTACCAGTGGTCTCCGGTGGTGTTCTATCCGAGGGCCGTCCGAGCCAACGGGGAGACGAGGAACATCTCCATCAGCCTGGGTGGCCGGGCGGCCCGCTTCGTCAAGATCCAGCTGTTCTTCAGCGCTCGCTGGATCCTTATCAGCGAGATACGCTTCACTTCAGGTTAGTCCGAGTCTGAGTCTCAGTCGATCTCAGGTCAGTCGGGTCAGTCAGGTCGCTCAGGTCAGCGAGGTCAGTGAGGTCAGTGAGGTCAGTGAGGTCAGTGAGGCCAGTCAGGTCGGTCAGGTCAGTCAGGTCAATCAGGTCAGTCAGGTCAGTTAGGCCAGGCTGATTCGGTGTCAGCTCAGTTAGTTCAGGTCAGTCAGTGTCGGATGAGCACTGCTCACCGCTCGGCCAGGTGTGGTCGGGCCGGCACCCGGCCCCCGCTCTGTCCATCCACGCTGTTGAGTGCCGGTCAGTCTCCGCGGAATGCGTGGGTCGGAGGTGAAGAGGGCTTCCCGTGTTGAGTCAGAGTTCAAGGAGCAGTGGTTGATACTGAGCTCAGTGACGTCTGAGGGTATAGGGTGGCAGGTGACCTCCGAGTACCCAATCAATAGCCACCGCGGCTGTCGCCAGCAGAGGAGCAAAGCTGGCCACCAGTTATCCGGCCTTTGTTCTTCGGGCGCTGGCTAGGACTCTGAGGAAGTGTTTGAAGCTGGGAAATTTAGGATGACAGCGTGATATCTTAATTCAAACCGTGAGAGCAGACGACTGTCGGCGATAAATCGCAGTGCCCCTTGTTCGACTGCGCTCCCAGTCCAAGACAGTGCATGGGTGCGACGGTCTCTGTGCTTTTATTTTGTAATAGTACTTTATGTTTCTCGGTGGTTTTTAGGGTAGTTACAGTTTCAGGTGACAAGAGCATATCGATTAGTTTTTTTTTTTACAGTAGGTATGTAGAGAAGTTAAGTCATTTAATGATTTCATTATAATTCCCATTTCAATGTAGACACACTGGAAATTTTAACCAACCGCATGGCTATTTTTCATCCGGTTGTCGAACTACCAATACGGGGCTTATTGGATTGACGTTCGGCCTTTCCAAACACCTGGTGCGGTGGCAAAACCGACTGGCCGAGCCGCGGCTTCGAGGTGATTTCACGCTAATTCCTCAATAACATAATAGTCGGAGCACCCCAGCGGAACAGTCTCAAATTACGGACCGCTCCGGTGCCAGTCACAAATTACGGCCGGTCGGTCGGCGAGGCTGAATGTAACATTCGTAGTCGAGTGCCGACCGCGGAATGCCCCATGACACGAACTAGAGGAATTATCAACTTTGGATGATTTGTCTGGATCCGACTAGCTGGAGCTTTGAGAAACCCTGAGGGAGGGTTTCGGTGATGCGATCAAACAAAAATAACTGATACACATACTTCATTATTAGTATTTTCATAGGTAATGTTTGGATCTACGTAGCGTAGTTCACATTTCATGTTCCTAATCCTGGTATTCGGTTCGCCAACTTTTCAGGTCTGTTCGGTTTTGCCGCTTTTAAAGGGACTATCCCACCTTTAACATGGGGTTTGAGTTGAGATAGCCAACTTTGCGGCGAGGTTCAGAAACCACTATCTATCTAGGTTGCAACCCCCGCGGCCTCTTGGTGTTGAAGAAATTCGTTCCCTTCATTTGAAAATGGGCCTTGTACAAGGCCCTATCTTCAACATGGAGCGACCGTTAGTGTGACGTCACCTCGTTTAGTCATTCTGATTTCAATGGGTTTGTTCGTTGAAAAATCGCTTAAAACTTGGTCTAAACTTTGTTGTGGTGCCTACAGAGTAAAAAGAATCAGCTTTATGACAGTAATGTGGCCCGGGGAAGGAGGTAATTTTGGGCTGTGACGTCACATATTTGAAAGTTTGTGTTTGGAATATGGAAGCCTAAGATGTTTAACCCTATTAGTGGCAGGGGGGGTTGTTTTTATCCACCCCAGGTTTTTCGGGAATATCTCCGAAACCGCTGGAGCTACGATGCTGAAATTTGCTGACTTTTCCTAAAACTAAATTGGGCACATTCCCTGAAAATTTCAAGTTCATAACTTTACCAGGGGCGGCTCCAGAGCACTGGGAATTGGGGGGTCCTATTCGTGAAGCGAGTCATTTGGGCGAAGATCACGATGCTGCACCAGTTTTACGAACAGTGAATGAAAGGTATCATGTGATAACATATACAAAGTTATTGTGCATCCTCTTTTGACACGTTTTTGCTATAATAGGCGGATCCAGGCGTCCAAAAAGGGGGGTTATTTTTTACCTCCCAACATAGGTGCCCTGACACCGCCTATGCATGACCAATACAATTTTAGTCGTTCTCTCATAAGAAAATTGTAACATAACAAGACCATTGCCACCCTTTTTAGAAACAGTACCAACAAAAACCCTATTTACTATACTTTTTGTGTACCCCCAATCTCAATGATCTGTATCCGCCTATGATTTTTGAAAATGCATATTTTTAGGATCCATGTGAATTCCTGGTTCATTCTCTATCGATCGGCAAAAGTTGCGTTAAGATTGGTTCAGAAACCTGGCCGTGATAAACAGTCTAAAATGTATCTGCAATGTGCCCGTTTTTACCCCCCTCCACCCCCCCCTATTGACATTTTTTTTTTTTTTTTTTTTTAGAAATGTAGATCTCGTTGAGCCAAATCGAATGCCGTTTGAATTTTGAAAATCGGCAGGTTAGATCTCGAGATATCAAGGGGGGGTCGTAAACAGCCCCCCCCCTGCCACTAATATGGGGTAGCCAGGAGCCTGCCACTAATAGGGTTAATGAAAAATAAATGCCAGAACCGTGTTCCTGGTCATCCAATCTACATTTAAAGTCGGGCACAATTTAACTGGTTTTAACAACATTTTAGAAGGTGGGATAGTCCCTTTAATTCAATGATCATTGCTTCAGTTCATAAGCAAAGTTTTTCCTCCTTCCCTGGTTAGTCTTCACAACAGCCAAATTTCCATTTCCTCACTCTTTTGCATTTATATCCTTTCCCTTTCTACCTATTCCCTCCATCCTTCCTTTCCTCTCTCTCTCCCTCTCCCTCTTTCCACTCCGTCTCTCGATCCGTTTACATTCTGGCGGACCATTTCACACGGATCACAGAGCGAATACGGATAGCCCCCGCGGATTTTACCATTTAAATTCTGCCGGGGCTGCCCAGATAACCCGCCTGCCAGCCGCCCGCAATAAGCTCCATTGAATCCACCGGTTGAATCCTCCGAACACCTCCGCTGGATTTAGTTCAGTCCGCTATGGAGACCCATAAGAATCCGCCCCTGGAAACTCACAACTTCGTTAACTCCACTTCGTCCGCTCCGCATGGCAATTCCGCCCAGGCAAGGTAACTTGTCAATCTCGCTCACCTATGACGTCGGCAGCTGGCATGAATTCGGTCAAGTTGTGCCCTTGAGTAGTCAATTTGTGTCCGTGCCTGACACATGCCATTTTGCATCTGCTTCACAATGATGAATGTTCGCGGGGCGGGTCCACTGCGCTGTGCAATCAATGACGGGCCCGGCGTCCGAGCGCGCGCGGCCGCCGGCCCGGTACGTGCAGGCGCTGATGGATGACCGGGCGGCGCGGTCGTTCGGCTGCCGGCCGCTGGCACCGTTGATTACAAATGCGCTGATGGAGCGTGCGGCCGCGCCGGCCCGACAGAGAGGTGCAGTGCTGCGGTCACGGTATCGGCCGAACGCGTCGCTCACCGGTCTTTGCAGCCGTGTAATGCGGACAGCCATCCGTCATGGCGGCGCCGAGTGGTCAGCGAGCCGGGTTCGGAGCCATGGGGCGCCCTCAGGGGGGTTCGGAGCCATGGGGCGCCCTCAGGGGGGGGGGGTTTGGAGCCGTGGGGCGCCCTCAGGGGAGGCCCCCGAGCCTTGGGGCGCCCTCAGGGGAGCGCGGAGTACAGCGGAACCTTTGTCGCAGTTTGCATGGAAGCTGAGGAAACGGAGAGCGGAGTTCGAAGCCATGGGACGCTTTGGGAGCTCAAAGTTCTTAGGCGGGAAAGTCCGGACCAGGACATTTGTTGTTCAGAGGCTAAGCAAACGTCTAGCTAAGCGCGGAGCTGCAGGGCGCCTTCGTGTTAGCCTGGAACAATGGGGCGCCGTTATGGTAGCCATATAGCCGTAGAGCTCTATCAGGGACGCCCAGGGCCTATAGGGCATCCTTAGGGAAGGGGAGGGGCGTTGAACTATCGCGGGCCTTGAGGGATTATAATACTGTACCTGCTAAGAGGGTAATTGTAGATACTTACTTGCCAAGCCTCTCCCCTGACAATGCATTGCTGTCTAGTGTCCAGTGCTCACACCTGTGTATAACAATGACTCATTTCGAGTCGTCTGCCTTGATGTGTAATATGGCTACTGCGTTATTAACGACCCTTTAAGTGGGTGAAATTAATTGGACACATCCACCTGTGCGCTCTATTGTTTCACTTACCACAATTATTTCTGTAGCTCGCTTTTAACGTTCAACCGGGACATCTGTTTGACAAATTTATTCGTGGCAATGAAGGACATTTGTGGCCGTTGAGAGGTAGGTTGGTATGTACATTTGTATAATTTATTTATTTTTATTTTTTGTTTACTGATCTGCGTCTTTTTCAGAAATATGCGCCCAGCCGTGCACTGGCAGTCTAGGCGATGGAATGACGATACCACACACCGAAGTATGGCGAGCTCGACCACAGGATATCAGCAAAATCAGTAAGACATTGAACTATCCAGCTACCTCGCTTCTTTTGTACCCGATGCACTTTTTGAATGGGTCATCCATTGTTTACTGGACGGAGCATTAGAAAATGAACGTTAAATGCATTGGCACATTACCATAAACATCGAATATACAGCGGCATATTTTCAATTTAGTGTCCTTGCGTCCTTAGATTCCCTTTATTTTTATGTAGTCTGCATTCCAGGACACGGGTCATCCACAATAACTGGATGGTGATTGGTATTGATTGCCTCCGGGCGCCAGTCGGTCAGCAAGGACGCGCGTGCACACGTGCAGCACAGTGGCTAATGATATGACTACTTGTCTGTATAAACATCGGACCGACTGACGATGGCGACTGCCGTTTATTCATGGTGGGCAGTGCCGCAGCGGTACATGTAGAGCCTTGGCAGTGGCATGGATCCACATAATATGGGCAGCTAAGCTTCATATAGCGTCATATTTACGAGGCTATTTGGGGATGTCGTGGTCAAATATCCTTTTGAGTTTTTTGCTCGTTATCTGCGTTATCTGTTGCCATATGGGTATCTGGATAGTTGTATATGAAACGAACAAAAGCATGCTAAATATGCAAATTCATATCTGTCAAGGGTCACGTTTTGTGATAACCATTATATTCAAGATGCAGAGGCCAGTTTAACCAACAGAAAAATAGCCGCCTTGCGGAATGTTTGCCTGAAGTTGTCCCCAAATTGGGCCATCCAAGCGGGAAAAAAATTGTCCCTATGTGACTTATTATATCAGCCAGCCTAGCTGATGTAATCAGTCTCATCGGTATATATTTTTTTTCCGCCTGGACATGGCCAAAGTCGGGGACGACTTTTAGGCAAAAAATTCCGCCAGGCGGCTATTTTTCTGTTGGCAAAACTGGCCTCATCACAAGCAATGTCGATCACACTTTAGGGCCTAACGCATAACAACAACGCTTCACAGACTCCCTCTACCAACACCCGCAATGTCGCTGCGCTGGGCCGTGGCGACGCGGCGCCTCACACCGTTTGAGTGGTGTGCCGCCCAAAGTATAACAGAGCGGCGCCTCACGCCGTTTGAGCTGTGTCGTGCCGCGACCACAAGTATAACAGAGCGGCGCCTCACGCCGTTTGAGCTGTGTTGTGCCGCGACCACAAACAGCACCTGATCTAAGACGGGGCGGCGCCGCCTCATCAACGAGCGCGGCGGCTTTGATCACGGCCACACAGCGCTGCTCCTAATCAGACCACGGCGCAGGAACGGCTGCAGCTCTCCCCTCCCCTCCCCCGCCCGGTCCCCCGCGCCGTCCCCGATCCTCCAGCCGGGACAGACGGTGGATAACCTAGCTCGGGCGGTGTCGAACGTCGCTGATCAGACTGCGGACTGGTCCTATTGGAGCTGTCGTATGCAGGGTCACGGACCGAATCCGTGTAGCGGAATTCATACCGTTCCCAATCCGACCACTCTCCAATGCGAGCGGCCGCCGCTGCTGGTGCCAGGATAGATCAAAGGCTGATCGCTTTCGACAGCATGCCGCGGCACCCAACGGCGTATCGGGGCTGTTGGCAGTGTCTATGCATGTCGACCTCTGACGGTGTGTTGACCTGTCGACAGTGTCTATATGTCGGCCCGCTGACAGTATGTCGGTCTGTATACAGTATCTATGTCGGCCCCTGACGGTGTATCACGCCTGTCGACAGTGTCTATGTCGGCGCCTGAAGCTCAGTCGGGTCTGTCGGGCGGTCAGCTGGGTCTGCTGGTCAGCCTCCTCTCGTTCCTGGCCGTGGCCGTGCTGCTGGCGGCTGGCCTGCTCTACTGGCGAGGCCGGCGACTCAAATCAGACAGCCTGACCTACACCACCTTCACGGGGCCGTTCGGCGACAGAAAGGTCACCATCAGCACAAAGGTCAGTTAGAGGTCACTGCCAGGATCAAGGTCAGTCAGAGGTCACCGTCAGCACCAAGGTCAATTACAGGTCACCACTGGTGCCAAGGTCAGTCAGAGATGTCTCCGTCAGCACCCAGGTCATTCAGAGATCACTAATGGCACGAGGGTCAGTCAGAGGTTACCATCAACACCCAGGTCAGTTAGAGGTCACTGTCAGCACAAAGGTCAGTTAGAGGCCACCAGCAGCTCAAAGTTCAGTCAGAGGTCACACTACCAAGGCTAGCCAGAGGTAACCAGCAGCTCTCAGGCTAGTTCGAGGTCACTGATATACTTACGTACGAGGTTTAGTCGGAGGTCGCCTATGGCATCGAGCTATATAGACGCGTTGCCACCGGCATCAGCCTCAACTACTATGCATTTCAGACCCCATGAGACCCTGTTTTTCGGCGATAATTTCTTCAATTTTTGTCCAATTAGCTTGAAATTTTGGCAGACCATATTTCAGCTCAAGCGCCAATTTTTGTCAATATGGTCTCTTAACAAAATATCAAAATTTAGAGCACTTGTCGTTGGCTCGTAATGTTAATCAGTTTTTGCACCCGGATAGAGGCTCGCTCGTTGCCGCACCGGATTGGATAGGAGCGCTGGCCAATCACGTTACGCCGTGCTCAACTTGACTCCGCCCACCGGCCGTGACCGCGATGGGTCTATGCCGCTTCAGTCGGTGTCAGCACCGCGGAGAGGTCGCAGCGGGACCTCATAATGGAGACAAGTTAACCCTCGCATGTGTAGGGGGGGTCGGATGGACCCCCCCCCCCCATGGTTTTTCGCGAATAACTCGCGTAAAAAGCGGCCGATCGCGACGAAACTTTCAGTACCCTCGCATTGATCAATTTTACACCTACCCTGAAAATTTCATGACCCTGACCCAAATGACCTTTGACCTGTGACCTCTTTTCCGAGACCATGTTTGGCCGGAATCGCGATTTCGCGTATGTCGGCTCGCACTAGCCGCGTGTTTGCAAGCTTTTCGTGGTTTCAAACGTTCAAACATGTGATTTGATGTTACTCCCGTGTGTGTCAAGGTCACCTGAAGGTCAGGTCAGGTCATTGACCTTTGGTGACCTCGGGTGACCTCGGGTCACTTTTTCGAGTTTTACATGTTTCTAGGCTAGTTTTTGGAGCTGAATTCGAATTTAGCAACCATTTGAACATTTACGAAGTAGTTTTGGTGACTTCGTAACATGTTACGAAGCTGTCAGAGGCGGTTGACACGTACTACGAATACCCGTCACGACGCGTACTGGTTGACCTGACCTGACCTGACCCGACCTGGTCTAAATGCTTCAAGACATCATCTGTGATCAAAACTAACACGATATTCGTGATCAGCACCCCGAAAAACCCCTTAGCAGCCACACTTTACGACTTTCTAACAGGTCCCGATTTTCCCGACTTTGGGTCATTGACCTGACCTGGAAGGTCAACCAATGACCTAGGACCTTAAAATTGGGTATCATCGGCTTCCTCTCGTCACGGGCAACACGCTCGTTTTTTCCGCGAAGCTCTAGCTCGATCAGGGGCCAAACGGCAAGGGGGGGTCCAACCGACCCCCCCCCCCTACACATTAGAAGCTGGCAAACGCCGCACACATGCGAGGGTTAAGCTGGCAACGTTGTCGGGACGAAAGCCAAAAAATTATCCGTTCGAGGGCATTTGGTGTCCTCTTCTCCTTATTTTGGTATTTAAACGTCGAACCAGCTCAGAATATTCAGAATGATCAGAATCAAAGCTAGGATCCATTGGAACGGAACCGGCCGTAGAAGGAAAGATAGATGGACTCTTGGACTCTGAACATTTATTTAAGCCGGAGTTGCACCTATCTCATCGTCAGGTTGGGTCAGGTCACTACCCGATTACCTATAAGATCATGTGTAAGCCTCTGCTTGACCCAAAAATATTGATATATTTGGCAGCGTCAATAGATGTTTCTGAGGAAGGCGCAGAAAGCAACAGGGTAGGATGAAGAGTCTCGGGCACGGCCGATTGCCTGGGGCATCGCTCCAGCGAGACGACCGTATTCGTGATTCGTGAAGCGGTGCGGGGCGCCGGGTGGGGCAGAAGCGTAATGTGTCGTATGGTAGAATGTCATGTGTGTAAGTTATATTGTTAAGGCGTGCACAGAAAGAAATAGGAATGTGGCAGGCGGACGTTGGGCACTACACGAGAACGATCATCAAGAAACACAAAACTTTTTTTTTTTTTGCAAAACTTATGTAGCAATAGGTATGTCCTCAATGGTGAGGTAACTATCTCTATTCTCTAGGCTTTTACTTTTCATGTTTGCATTTCAACACATAAGATCTGGGGGTAAAGTTAGTCCGGCGACCTCCTCAACCGAAGTCGATGACAAAATGGATTACTCCTGAAGGTGTTCAATGCTTATGTCGCACCGGGATGATATGAATCGATCACACCGGCATACATTCCTAATCAAATTTCATATATCAAACACATAAATTGCATCCTATTAATGGTGATTCTATTTTGCAACTTGAACGTAGTCTGACACGATACATAATTTTACGCAATCATTTGAAATCAACAGCGTTTTTTATGTGCGCTTTTTTCACAAGCCCCGAATCTTGTGTGGAAATAGATATTTGTTGTGACTGAACAAGGTGTACGTATACATTTGTCATAAATGGAAAGTCAAGGGCTTCAGCTAGTGCGTTACTTATGCGCGCTATTTAGCTCATTCGATGAAGTTACGGCTGCAACGACAACTGCACGGCAGCTTCGCTCCATGCGAGCCGCCCCGGTGCGACAGCTACTGCCCCGCTCGCTCCACGCAGCCGACTGACCGGCCAAGGTCACCGCCCCGTCCGCCGGGAGGGCGGAGCTTAATGGTCACGTGTTTGTGACGTCACACCTACGCACGGATAGCCTCTACTCCACTGACGGATTTACGGGGCCGATTTTAACATTACGAGGCAACTACAAGTACCCTAAAATTTGATATTTTGTTAAGAGACCATATTGACAAAACTTGGCGCTTGAGCTGAAATGTGCATTGTGAAAATTTGAAGCAAATTGGACAAATATTTAATAAATTATCGCCGAAAAACAGGGTCTCATGGGGTCTGAAATGCATAGTAGAGGCCATGCCATTGCTTTAATTAAATATTGGAAACTTCACAGCAGTTTGAAGATGTTCTTTCCTTTCATCTAGCAAATTTGACATTCTGAGCTGGACATTTCCGTGTGGTCTGTGAACCATAAGTCACTCAAGGCGCTGACTCGGATACAGTTCCGTGACGGCCAGCGTCTGACGGTAGTTTTGTCCGTCTCTCGGTCGCGTCTGACCGATGTCTGTCCGACGGCAGGGTGTCACCGGTAAGATGGGTCTGACGCCGCTCACCAGCGGGCTCAGTGACGCCAAGGGAAGTCTGTTCGGGCGGCTGGACGTGGCCTCAGGGACTACCGCGGCGCACACCCTGCCCGCCCGGCCCGCCGCCGGCGGGGGCGGGGGCGGCGGCGGCGGTCCCCGAGACGTCATCAACGGCAACGGCCTGGTGGTCAACCAGCTGGACGTCAGCACGTTCCCCGCCATGAAACTCAAGGCCTCCAAGTCGAGGGACGACAAAAATGTCTACCAGTCGGGTGAGTGCCACCTAACTGCTCGGATCGAATTACTGCCGCAGGAAAAGTTGCCCAACGATGGATAATAAAAAGCGGATTCATGGAACTTTTAAATGATACTGTATGCTTCCCATTTGGTCCCTTAACTCGATTATCCGGAGATCCTAAAATACATTCAGCGAGTTGTAACCGGGCCCGCGAATTCGTTTCGGTCGTGATTACGATGACCTTCGATTGACGCCCCAGACTCTGGCAGCTTCTAAAGGTCACGAGCTCTCTTGGAAGTCGGACCTTCAGCGGAGGGCGAATACTGTAGGTCAGGCCAAAATAACGGCCTCAGACGGAGTTGGCCAGCACTGCTGCTTGTTGAAATCTTTACTAAGCCTCTCATAATCAGCTTACTTTTGTTTAACATGCACTTTTCCTTGGTAATATCAATGCAAACGTGACCCGATTTTCCGTCATGTCTGGGAGTGTAAACGCCGTAAATCCTGGCTGGCGGTTGTCACTCCTGCTCCGCTGAGCTCACGTGTGGCCCGCTCCGGTCGCAGAGAGCACCTCTGAGCTGAGTGACTCCACCACGGCCGACCTGCGGCCGAGCCTGAGCCACAGTCCGGCCGGCTGGGGCGCACCCTCGGCACCCGGCGTCGGCTCCGGGGGTCGGGCCGGCGCCGCACCCGGCCGAGACACGGACAGCCTCCGCGCGGGACGGGGGTCCGGACACGACACGGACAGTGTCCGCGCGGGTCGCGGCTCCGGACACGATTCGGACACGCTGCGGCAGAGCGGCGGCTCGGGCGGCCGTGACCCGGCCCGCTCCAGCCCGCTGTCGTCCCTCAGGAGACTGCGGAGACAGGAGCACGCCGAGCCGGAGAGAGGCAAGGTGAGCCGTGGGGTCGGTTCTGTGGGGTCTTCGGGGTAGCTGGAGGGTCACCGTTCGCCGAACGGTTACACCCTCCAGCTACTCCGAACGGCGTTCGGCTGTATAGAAATATGTGTTTGGGGGTGCACATTTATTTGGCGAATTTGCAGCTAGCGACTCGCAAAACGTGGCGATTTTTTATAACTTTCTCGCTGCCATTTCATCTTTTGTTTTCTTTTTTGTTCTTCAAAAACTACTCATCAGCGAGAAGGTTGTGCCAAGATGGCTATTGAGATTGAACTTTTGATTATTTTGAGAATGCTGTCCGTGCACTTTTTTCATAAAAGTGTTTCCTTTCTCGTGCGATGCATCTATGGCTATTTTGCAGTTGTTCCTCGCATTTAATTGCGTTTTGTTGATGCAATCCATTATCACAGCTGAAAGATGATTAAAATATCCACTTCATTTGTGTTATTGCATTTACATGCCCGTAAGCGTATGATATGATTACATTGCCTTATCAAGGCCTTAATATTGGATTACGGTGAGCGGTCGGCGGTGGTCGGCGGCGGATTTCGGCCGTCACTATCGACCAGCCGTCGGGCCCGTGTAAGGCAATCAGTTGTACGCGACGGATGGTCTTTCACCTGAGCGCCGCAGAAGGAAACAGGCGGCGCCAAAACACGTCTAATTAGATCGGCCGCCCGGGCCGCTCCGCTCACTCTGCCCCCTCCCCCTCTGTCCGCGGAGCAGGGCCCGGCGCCGCCGCTGGCCGGTCCGATAAGGGCGCAGGTGGAGCGGTTCGCGGCCTCCTCTCTGCGCCTGCAGGAGCGGCTCGGAGACGGAAAGTACGGAGAGGTGAGTGGCCAGCGCTGCGGCTCGCGGCGCCCGTCCGCCGGTGATGACGTATGGTGTCCGCCCGACACCCCGCGGCTCGGACGCTCCGCTCTCTCCGCTCACACCCCTCCCATCACCATCGCCGACCGGGCGGCCCGAGACGGTCGGCAGATTGCAGCCGCCGGTAACAAACGTCGCCCTCACCCAGCGGCGCACCGAATCTCTCTGAAATGCAAAGTGATGGCCGGCCCGGTAGCGAGCGGGCCGCGCGGAGAGGCGGGGAGCTGCGGTAACACTCATCCGACAACCACTAGGCGTGTGTAACCAACGGCGGGGTGTGGGAGTAGTCATGTATGCAGCCACCCGCAACCTGCAGGCTGTGGGACAACCGTGGACAATGAGACTTGTTTCCTCATCCTGTTTCTGGGTGTTAGATACTGAACTGAAATGGGAAAGATGCACATCCAGACGTGTTACAGGGAATGAAATATTTTGGGACTGTCATTTGTCGGGAAGAACACAAGATGGCATGTGATTTAACCCGCGCCCGGCTGGGGGTCCTGGATTTCCACGCCCTGCTGGGGGGGTTGAACACCCCCTTCTAACTCGGCTCCTGGGCCACGTAGCGATACGCGGAAGGCGACGTTCGAAAGAGCGTCAAAAATAATGACGAAATCACTTCGGTCAATTTTTTGGTCAGGTCAAAGGTCAGGTCACTAGAGGTCATTGAAGGCAAAATTTCGCCGATTTCCAGGTCGAATGTCGACAATTTCCAAGAAGCCAACGCATAACTCGGGAACCAATAGAGCTACAGCGCCGCGGAAAAGCACATTCGATAGCCCTATTAACGCCCTTTCTTACGGAGCGAGCGAAGCGAGCGTAGTCTTTTCTTAGATTAACGGAAATTTCTGAGTATGAGCGGCCGGCCGGCCGTGGTCACGCTTTTGCGAGGCTTATATCTCAGCAACCACTTGACCGATTTACATGCGGTAAATTTTGTAGGGTAGCCTCATTCCTTCTACCAAGTATTGCACTATTCCCGATGCATGTGGGTGACCCCTTATGCACGTGCCACGTGCAAAACGAAGAGGTGTCACTTTTGTAATTGTTGCAATATCTCGGTAACTACTGGGCCGATTGCGCTGAGAGTTGGCATGTAGGTAGGCACCCACTAGGCAATGCATATCCATGTGCCAGAGTTGGGGTGCTGCTGCACGTGCGCACGTGCAGGGGTCGATTCCAGATCTCGAGAACGGCTGGACCGATTGCGCTCAAATTTGGTACACGGCTACGGAGCAGTTAGTAGGGTGCCGTGCACAAGTCAGTTGGGACCCATTTTGCACGTGCGCACGTGAAGGGTGCCGCTTCCAGATCTCGAGAACGGCTGGGCCGATTGTGCTCAAATTTGGCACATCGCTAGAGACCGGTTAGTAGGGTGCCGTGCACAACTCAGTTGGAGGTACCCCCTCGCAATTTCGCACGTGCAAGGCTCACCCTCTCGCTCGCTCCGTTAGTCGCCCCAAAAGGCGTTATACTGGTGAGTAATTCTCTCAAAATTGACCTGTCTTCAACGGTTTTGCCTGCAGGGGGCAAAAACTGCTAAAATAGCCGATTTTTCCGAAAACAGTTTTCTGCGATAACTTTGACCCAAGCCTTGTACGAGCTTACTTTTACCGGCACCGTATTCCTCTCGTCAAGACGCATCGAATGAACTATAACTTGACCTTGAAAGGTCAACTTGAAAATTTGACCTCAGGTCAAAGTCATGACCTGACCGGAAAGGGTCATGTTGCATATCAGTCGATCCTATCGTCGAGCTGAACACATCTAAGGCGTATTCATCGCTCTAGCATGCCTCTATCAAAAGTTATTTGAGAAAAAACTGTTAGATACCATTCGTGACCCAAGATGACCTCAGGGCATAAACAGGGGTCACGGACACCATTTTCATGTTCAGTGTGTCTAAACCACTTGTAATTCAGGGTTTGGAAGTGTTTATAATGTCTTTCGTCCAAAAGAGGCGCATTTCAATTTTCTCCCATTGACTTATAATGGGGAGGTCGCAAAATTGACCTGACCTTAGGTCATCGATATCAAAATTCTGAGATATACATTTTGTACATGCTATTGCTCTTAGCAATCGCTGAAAGTTTCAAAGCGATCGGTCACTCGGTGTAGCTATGACAGACATTGAAACTTGTTATGAGGTGAGATCACTTCAAGTGACCTGGTGACCTGACCTTGAATGACCTTGGTCTGAAATTTTCACAACATGTGTAGAATTGATGTATGATAAGATGTACCAAAAACGGCGGCGCTCCGCGCCGCCGTTTAGAATAACAGAATACAGAATGTAATAATACATAAAAGAATACAGAATGTTTAGAATACAGAATGTAGAATAAACAGGGCAATAAAACTGCTTTATAAATTTTTTTTTGAAATTTTTGGATTTTGACCCTCAAAAATAAAAAAGTGATGGTTTAGATATAGGAGCCAAAAATCTCCAAAAAAATTTCGAATTTTAAAAAACGGAATATGTATAATAGTACCTACCGTTTTCTATCCACATACCAAATTTCAGATTGATACCTCTTTTTCGCCACGTTATAGCGAAACAAAAACTTCAAAAATGATGAAGTCAAATTTAAAAACTCAATTGTTGGCAATGCTAGATCACGTAGCTCAAAACAAAGACGACCATTACACTTCCCGTGACGAGTTGCATCGAATGTTCATGCAAAAATATCAACCTTGAACTTTGACCTAATTTGACCTGACCTTGACCTGACCTTCACCAGAACATAACCTAAACTGGCCCAAAGGTTGCCTGACCCACATAATCGCATTTGTCATGTAAAATGGACCATAAAACAACATCACACGACACTTGTGTGCCCTCTGTGACCTGACCTCTGTGACCTAACCCTCGCCCCGTTGGGGGGACCATTTTGGCCCCCCTGTGGTTTTTCCTGAATAGCAAGAAAACGGCGGCGCGCAGCGCCGCCAAATTTTCAGTACCTTTCCGGGCATCAATTTGACACCTTCACACCAAATTTCAAGTCTTAGGTCACCTTAGGTCAGGAGTTATTGAGGTCAAACTGAGGTCATGTTCGAGCAAAAATGAGCAAAAACATGCAATCTTGAAATGCTCACCAAATCTACAGTTATCAAGCAATTTCAAAGTTCTTTATATGGTCTAATAGACAAAAAGCGGCGCTACAAAACTGCTATCTCGGATTTTCAAAATTTTGGGTTTGGGACCCAAAAAAATTCCAAAAATTGATTTTTTTAGAAAAACTAAAAAAAAAATCCAAAATTTTTCCGAATTTCGAAAAAAACCGGAATATATGTGATAGTCCCTGCGCTCTTCTATATACATACCAAATTTCAGATCGATATCTCGTTTTTTGGCCAAGTTATAGCGAAAAAACTGTTCAAAAATGATGACGTCAAATTTTTGAACTCAATTTTTAGCGATTCTAGACCTCGTACGGCAAAACAAAGACCACCATTGAACTCCCCGTGACGAGCTGCATCGATTCAATACCCATTTTATGCAAAAATATCAACTTTGAAATTTGGCCTTATTTGACCTGACCTTGACCTGACCTTGACCTGACCTTGACCAAAACGTGACCTAAGCTGGCCCCAAAGGCTGCCTGACCCACATAATCGCATTTGTCATGTAAAATGGACCATAAAACATGTATCACACGACACTTTCATATTGTGACCCCCCAGTGACCTGACCTCAGTGACCTGACCTGGTATCAGTGACCTCAACTAGCAAAATATGTGTTTGAAGAACATTTCCCCATCGATGATTTTCAATGAAATGCATTTTACTCGATTTTACAACGCATTTCTTGAAATGCCTGTAAACGGTGAAAATTCGACCTTTGACCTGACCTGTGACGTCATCGGTTTGACCTAGGTCAATAAAATTGGGTCACAAGGTAGTTCCCTGATAGGGCTATCCAACACCCTTTGCCGCTTGTCGCTACGTTGCGTGGTTCTCGAGATCTTAGGGGGGGGGGCCAAAATGCCCCCCCCCCAACGGGGCGCGTTGCTCGGCAGAGCCCAACGGGGCGCGGGCTAACCTGGTATCAGTGACCTCAGATAGCAAAATATGTGTTTGACGAACAATTCTCCATCAATTATTTTTTAATAACTTGCCAATTTACTTGATTTCTTAACGCATCGCTTGAAATGCCTGTTAACGATGAAAATGCGACCTTTGACCTGACCTGTGACGTCATCGGTTGGACTGAGGTCAGTCAAATTTGGTCACAAGAGAGTTCCGCGGTGGGGCCATCGAACGCCGTTTGTATTTTATGAAAAGCAGCCGGCAAATTTCCGAGAACTTAGGAGGGGGCCGAAACGTTTCCCTCTACGGGTGGGAGGATCCGCCGATAGTCCTACGGGGCGCAGGTTAACCCGCGAGTTGCTGGGGGGGGGGCGTTAAACGCCCCCACTTTTTCGCCGGGCCATAGCATAAAAACGGCGCGCCTGCGGCGCGCCAAATTTTGGGGTACCTGTACGGAATTGATTGAAGTCTATTGTGACAAAATTTCAAAAAAATCGGTCGGAAAAAAATTTGAGATATCGAGGTTTTAGTGACGTCATGATTTCTGGTTTTCGACCAAAAACGGCATATGTTCAAAAAATCATATAAAATCACAGAATAGACATACAGACATGCCGTAAACGGCATTAGACTGCCAATACCATAAACAATCAAATGGCTATCTTCGTTTATTGATTATCGTTTCGCATTTGCCAACATCTTGATCTGAATCTTGGCAATTTCTCGTGACTACTTCACGACCATGATACATACATTTCTTAAATTGAACTCTCTGAGCCAAACACGTACACATATGATAAAATGAATGTCACCGTCTTGTTCTACGCCCCAAATTACCCATAAAACATGTGTCACAGGCTGCGAATATCAGTTTTGATTTTCGGGGATATGTGCCTACCCGGTTGACCTGACCTTGACCCTGCCCTATACT